ATATCGAAGTCACGCAGAATAAGCATTGGATGTCCGACCGGGTATAGCATTCTCTTATTCACAAAAGGGTAAAGCGACGTGAAATCCAGGTAACGAATTCTTTCGTTTTCACGGGCCTTGTGATAAAATTTCAATAAGTTCGTCCTCCCTCCATAGAAGGCGTCACGTACTTGCAAGGGTTCTGTCAAGGTGGGGGTGCACGCTTCAAAGGCTAAAAACATAGGGGTATTTGTGAGACGCTTGTATTCGCATTCCCATATACATCGAATACGTCTGGTCGGAGTCTTCAACCTCTCCAAACGGGCCAGGTGCTCCTCGTACAATGCGGCCATGGTTTTGTTATTGTATGGGGAGGGTTGATCTCTGTTTTTGATACAGAGACACCCGTGGAAAACGCAGCCTAAATATTCGATACACACCTCGATGTTATTTTCCATATACCAACCATCTACAGACATATTGAAAATGACCTTTTCACCACCGTTACGGGCGTGTTGTATATGACGATTTTCAACATATTCAAGATATTGCATGTACCGTATACATGAATTTGAATATTTGCGTGCGGATACATACTGACCCTGGGGCTCTATAGCTATCGTGAAGGGGGGTAAGAATTTTCGCCGATAGACGAGGTTACACAAGGATGCAATCGTAATAGCCTTTTGAAATGGCGATATTTTGGTTAATTCCATGAAAAGCTTTCTATAGCTAGCCGCGCCTAACCGTAGAAGATCAACATCCGCTTTACAGTATCGCACCAATTCAAACTTAGCGTCAAAATGATTGTTTAGAAGCACCCGCTCATTATACCATTTCATGACCTTATCGCGATCACTAGGGGACATAGATGACGTTTCGTAAAAACTTATCGAGGGCATTACGCCTTTATATTCCAGATTTTCGGGTTTAAGGAATGCATACGGAAATATACCCTTCGCAACAGGTAAATCAAATGTTTTGCTAAAATCTGCAAGTTTCATATGCATAAACGCTAGGCTATCTAAAAAACGTATATTACCGGGTATAGTCATACAAATGATTTTAGACCCGTTTGCAATGATTTCCGGTAGAATTCTAGTATGTGTGACGAAATATCTCAATACAAATAGGGCATCGAAAGCTTGACTGTTATGGGCTATGAATCTGGAATGCCTGTGGGTTAGAACGGTCGTTTTTTTACCTTCGAGGTCGACATTTATTTCGGTCTGAATTATCCAACGGCAAAACTCTGCAACGCAATATTTACCATAAAAAATCCACTCTCTCTGGGAGTTTTTTAAGTTACAGCCGACACACGGCGCGTTAATATCTATCTCCAAACATAAAGGACACACGCGATGAGCAATGCATAATATAGGAACGTGTATATTATTTTCATCCAAAATAGTCTCAAAGTCATAAAAAACAAAATATTTGATAGTCTCACCTTCAACCTCCTCTGATAACCGTTTCATATAGCATCTATGATTAGGCTTGCACAGTTGCATACAATTACGACATTTGTGCACGTCACAGGTGTGCTTATTAATCGCATCCTCTTCGTGGGTGTCTATTGTTGTATAACACTTTAAGCACGCCCTATATTTCATACACGTCGACACTGTGTATAACGGAACATTTTGGTTATGTCTCTCCAAACACTTTTTGCCTCTAAAATAACGGTGACAAAGTTCACACTGTATTCGCGGCCTATCCAGAGGGCAGGCCACTAATTGCCTGCAGCTTCGACATAGCGCTTTACACACATGGTTATTCTTATTAGAATATGGTTTTTCACACCCTGAACAATAGTATGAACGATTAAATAAGCTGTTGATTTTCTTTATATAGTAGAAATGTTTTTCCATTAAATACAGCCTTAAAACGGGCACATTGGGGTCCGCGTCACCCCTGAATATGATACAGTTGGCCGCCTGTCCATCATAGATGAGAATTTGATATTCAGCTTTTAAGTGTTCTTGAAATATACACCATTCAGGTCGACCTGCGGCTACTAGCGGGTTAACATTGAATTCTTGATACATTTCCATAGCCATGTCAATCTGCAGCGGCCTTTTCGCATAGGTGGCAGCTACACGTTTGTAATGTTTAGTTTCTTCGGCTGTTGGGGAAATTTTCTTATGATAAGAAATTTCGTTCATACCCAGGACTATAGATTGCCCAAAACAAGTTTGATAACCAGCGTTGGCTACGGGGGATATAAATGTCCGTTTTTTTCCACTCATAAAGGCCTCGTTCAAAATCGCCTTATTTGCTGAAAAACCCCCTTCTTTAGATGCAACGTAGGTAACGGTTATAGAGGTTTGATCGTCTATAACGAGGGTTTTTTTTGACTGCATAACTTTCGCAATTTCATCCAAAATTAATTCCAAAGTTAGTTCACTGTAAGGCCTAAACGCAAAATATAATGGATTGTCCAAATCAGGGTGATTTAATTGTATTCTTACCCTCTCGTTTGGTTGTACATTGAAATTTTCTCTAACGGTCGCTAATATCTGAGTGAATAGTCTCTCTAGCCAATCGGGAGTAGTAGGGTCATCCGTGTTTATAATTTCCAGACGTAGCAATTCGGAATGTATGTTAAATTTCCTTGAAAACCGTTGTTCCACCGAAATCAGCCTTACTAAATCTTCGCCGCCACGGCCCTCTTGACAAATCTTTAAAAAAAAACAAAAAAAACGGGAGTTGGTTATTTTAAAAAAAAAAAACCGGTGGGGTTAACAAATCGAGAATATCGACTACCTCCCCATCTTTTTCTTCACACGCCTTAGCAACTAAAGATTTGAACTTAGAAGGGGTTGCTATGTCACTCGTTAATAGAGCAATTAAGGGATCGTGATGTTCGCTTTCTGTAGACGAATTAGGTTCCCCATTATTTTGAGTATCGTGTAAAGTTTTTTTGCTCACCTGTGCCATGTCAATGTCACTATCGTCATCCGAAAATAATACAGGACTATCCAGTTGGCGATGACCCCTTTCGCACCTTTCGTCCTCCGTGTCGTCATCTGTGTCGGCGTCAGACCGCTGGTGTTTAGTCCCCGCTCTTTCATTATGATTACTTGTTTGATTTTCAATCTCGGCCCTGTCTAAAGTTTCGCTAATTGCCAGGACTTGACTCGGTGTCCAAAATTCAAATTCATCTGTAAGCCCTATTATTTCATGCCATTCAGCGTCTGTGTAGTTTTCAAACGGGTCCATCTTAAAAGAAAATAGATAATTTTGTTTTTTTAATTACTAATCGTGTCGGAGCCGGTAAGTATTATTATTAAACATACATTATGCAAGAACATTATGTTAAAATGGCCCCGAAGTGTATATATTAATGTTAAAAACAATTTAAAATTAACAATAATAATAATAACATAATAATTTAAAAAAAAACACAAACAAAAAAAAAAAAAAAAATGGAGCTTATGTATTAAAGGAGAGATAATGTTAGCAAAAGCCCCGATTGAAAACGTATAAAAAGGGGGATAACTCTCTTTTTTTTCTATTTCCGGGGTAAATAAAGTTAGCAAACGTCTCGGATCGAAAACGTATAAAAGGGGGATAACTCTCTTTTTTTCTATTTCCGGGGGAAATAAAGTTAGCTACCGCCCCCAGATTGAAAACGTATAAAAGGGGGGGGGGGGGGATAACTCGCTTTTTTCAAAGATTTCAAGCGCGAGTCTATTTCCGGGGATAAATAATTAAAAAAAAAAAAATTAATAAAAAAAAAAAGATTAAAAAAGAATAATAATAATAATAATAACATAATAATTTAAAAAAAAAAAAAAAAAACACAAAAAAAAAAAAAAAAAAAAATGGAGCTTATGTATTAAAGGTGAGATAATGTTAGCAAAAGCCCCGATTGAAAACGTATAAAAAGGGGGATAACTCTCTTTTTTTTCTATTTCCGGGGTAAATAAAGGTAGCAAACGTCTCGGATCGAAAACGTATAAAAGGGGGATAACTCTCTTTTTTTCTATTTCCGGGGGAAATAAAGTTAGCTACCGCCCCCAGATTGAAAACGTATAAAAGGGGGGGGGGGATAACTCGCTTTTTTCAAAGATTTCAAGCGCGAGTCTATTTCCGGGGATAAATAATTAAAAAAAAAAAAATTAATAAAAAAAAAAAGATTAAAAAAGAATAATAATAATAATAATAACATAATAATTTAAAAAAAAAAAAAAAAACACAAAAAAAAAAAAAAAAAAAAAAAAATGGAGCTTATGTATTAAAGGTGAGATAATGTTAGCAAAAGCCCCGATTGAAAACGTATAAAAAAGGGGGATAACTCTCTTTTTTTTTTCTATTTCCGGGGTAAATAAAGTTAGCAAACGTCTCGGATCGAAAACGTATAAAAGGGGGATAACTCTCTTTTTTTCTATTTCCGGGGGAAATAAAGTTAGCTACCGCCCCCAGATTGAAAACGTATAAAAGGGGGGGGGGGGGGGATAACTCGCTTTTTTCAAAGATTTCAAGCGCGAGTCTATTTCCGGGGATAAATAATTAAAAAAAAAAAAATTAATAAAAAAAAAAGATTAAAAAAGAATAATATTAATAATAATAACATAATAATTTTAAAAAAAAAAAACACAAAAAAAAAAAAAAAAAAAATGGAGCTTATGCATTAAAGGTGAGATAATGTTAGCAAAAGCCCCGATTGAAAACGTATAAAAAAGGGGGATAACTCTCTTTTTTTTTTTCTATTTCCGGGGTAAATAAAGTTAGCAAACGTCTCGGATCGAAAACGTATAAAAGGGGGATAACTCTCTTTTTTTCTATTTCCGGGGGAAATAAAGTTAGCTACCGCCCCCAGATTGAAAACGTATAAAAGGGGGGGGGGGGTAACTCGCTTTTTTCAAAGATTTCAAGCGCGAGTCTATTTCCGGGGATAAATAATTAAAAAAAAAAAAATTAATAAAAAAAAAAGATTAAAAAAGAATAATATTAATAATAATAACATAATAATTTTAAAAAAAAAAAACACAAAAAAAAAAAAAAAAAAAATGGAGCTTATGCATTAAAGGTGAGATAATGTTAGCAAAAGCCCCGATTGAAAACGTATAAAAAAGGGGGATAACTCTCTTTTTTTTTCTATTTCCGGGGTAAATAAAGTTAGCAAACGTCTCGGATCGAAAACGTATAAAAGGGGGATAACTCTCTTTTTTTCTATTTCCGGGGGAAATAAAGTTAGCTACCGCCCCCAGATTGAAAACGTATAAAAGGGGGGGGGGGGGTAACTCGCTTTTTTCAAAGATTTCAAGCGCGAGTCTATTTCCGGGGATAAATAATTAAAAAAAAAAAAATATATAGTTTCAGGGCCTAACCATATGTAACAGAGTCGTTTAATTATTATGACCGGAATAATTCTAAATGGACAGATATATGTATTACGGTATAGCCATGCCCCATATTTATAACACATACCTATTTTGAAATAAATTATAATCTAATGGAGACAACGCGGTTAACAAAAAAAAATTAATATATTTCAGAAAAAATACTATTACCTCAAAAAGAGATTAATAAAATTTATAATAATTTTCCCACCCTAGCAGCTTGGTTTTGTTTACGATACGGTTAAGAGCACGAATAATATATCCAATGACCGGATTATTAGTCCCCAAATGTTTTCATAGCATCTAGACTAATATTTTTGGAATATTTTTTGGCATGATATCGAAAACAAAAAAAAAAAATCTTACATAATGTATCTTTAAAGAATAGGCTTACCATAATTTTTTCCGAATGTGTCCTATAATGACGACGTGTATACTCAAAGACAACGTCTCACGAGTTGGGTGTTGTTGCTACTTCAAAGTCCACGGAGCTCAATGACGTTAAAACGACTGTCGCATTTTTGGTCAACAAACCATGAGAGCCTTCCATGATTGGTTAGTATGGGTCACGTGGTTGTTTAGCGCCAACTTCTGACCAGTGTCTTTGTCTCGTAAAGGGTCGTTAATCCTTTAGTTCCAGTCGACAGAGTAACTACAATGTCTGACGGTAAACCCCACGACTGAAAGGTGTTATAATTATGGGGACGCGTAGTGGTGTCACGCTGTCCTTAAGGTAGTCACATCAAATAGTGCTGGTTGACTGATTTAACATAGTACTCTTTAGAAATGCCCGCGACAGTCCGAGCAATCGTTTTTATAAAACTTTTTAAAATAGCGGAGACACACCACCAATTTTTTTTTTAAAACTCACTTTACAGCGTTTGTTCAGTTTTAATGTATTTCATTTTTAAAAAGAAAATTTTAAAAACAGTTCTCGAACCCTCAATTTGCAGTTGGTCATAAAATTATGCTATACCCTTTAAAAACAGCCGTACTTATGAAAATTGTCACTTCGACTTGTGGCTGAAAAGAATACAACACCAAAACAGAAAGACTTGACGAAAAAAAACTATACAAGAAAAGACAAATAATTTAAAATGTAAGTTACTTTTTTTTCTTTTTCTTTCAAAATTATGATTCAAAACCTACTTTACAAAAAAAAAAAAAAAATCTGTAATCGTTAGACTGAAAGCATGGGGGTGCGGGTGAGGGGGGGGGGGGAGATGAGGGGGGGGGGCCTTAGACCCTACATAATTTGAAGCTTTTAAAGAGGCATAACATTGTATGAGTACGGTATGATTTGACGATATATTCGGTCTAAAAAAACATTTTCAAACTATTTAATTTATCATAATTTGGCTATAATGCATCTTGTATGGATTAACAACGATACGTGCAACTGTCGTTGGATACCGTTGTTGAATTCGTTGCATAAACACGATTTTTGACCGTGATGTGGGCCGAACCCTTGGCAAGACAGGTGCTTAGTCGTCCGGATAGGCCGAAAACAATGCAGAACTCCACGGGTACATAGTCATGTACGCGTAAAAGATCGATATAAGCATTAACCCTTCAACCCACACCCTGCGACCTAAATATTTTACGGTGAAAATATCTTTAATATTATATTTTTTTTTGTCTTTTTTTTAAGGTATGCAATTGCTGATGTAAGAAATTTTATATTATCAACCATTAGCCTGATTACGGCGACATTGGCACCATATGCACCGTCCTTAGGCACGCCTGATGTTGTTATACAATTACGGGGTATTTTGGCAGACGCAGACGCTTTGTTGTCGACCCACAACCCGTTCATCCCAACTAGACCAGCCACGCCTAGCCAGGAAAAAGAAACGTAAGTTTTTTAACTACTTGTATGGTGTTTCGGTAGAAAGGAGGGTGGGGTGGGGGGGGGGTCGCCGCCACCTTTGCAATGAGAGTCTTGTCTGTATCGGGTTGCCCATTCAAGGATGTTCAGTCAAGCAGACTGTACTTTACAGGTCACACGTGTTTGTTTGTTTGTGGTTTCTAAGTATCGATTCTTGAACGTAGTTTTGTTTTGAACGACACCAATATAGCCTATGGCATTAATTTAGGTATAGGAAACAAACAGTGAGGCAGTTAAACGTCTCACTCCATTTCACCTCCCACCATTTGAAGATGCTTGCGTGTATACCCTCCGACCCCACACCCACACACCTTGTCGTCAATACCTAAATGAAATGTAATATGGGGTGGGGGGGGGGGGGTAAAATCCTACTGTTCTACTCCTAACGTGGGCTTAGGAAGGACCTGGCCTAAGACAGACCGTGTGCTATGAGTGAAATTTTGTCCGGGTACCCCGACTACGACCTACTCCTATATCCTTTTCCGACGGTCAAGGGATCTTTTACATGCACGACAATGGGTACACACGTCACCTCAGTTTTTCGTCCCATCCGGACGACTAGACGGCCGTCCTTGGCTGGACCACCGACCTGAATCACAGGCAATGGGGAAACCCCTCCAGAAATCGGGGTGACCTTTCTCAGCCAATGCTAGGGATCGAACACCCGACCTCTAGGCTAGCGAACCCAAGACTGTAATCAACGCTATTCTTATAATATTAATAATATTGCTTTATTTACCTGATACCTATTTGTTTTGTTCTTTTCTGCAGATTGTTAGCATACACTGACTACATATTGGCACGTTTGAGGTTGGTGGCCGACACAAATCCGGGGTTCAAGAAGCCAATGGATATTTTAGAGACTTACAGGGAATTGGCCGACTGGAACTCACCGGCACTTTAAAATGTAAATCAAAAATAAAAAAAAAATATTGAAAAAAAAAAAACAAAACATTGTTAGCTTCTTGCTTGTCACTAATTGAAAAATATAGAGGAATGAAATGGGGGGGGGGAGGGGCACGTTGGGGGTGAAGGGGGAGGGGGGGTGTAACTAATTGAAGAATATAGAGGAATGAAATGGTGGGGGGGGGAGGAGGGAGGGGGGGGGGGGGGCTCTGTGGTGAAGGGGTATGTGGGAGAAGGAGGGTAACTGAGTGGAAGGGGGGGGGGGGGCCAACCCCGGATAAACAATCGCAACCCAATCAATGGTCAATCTTAACGTTAACCCTTAACGCTAGACCACGCACGACCTGACCTCAGCACGAACCCCTATAAAGACAACCCCACCCCACTCACTCTCAATAATCAATGCGTGACCTCCAGCTAACCTCGTAACAGAAGTCAAATGAGGTCAAAGGATAAACAAGAGTTCATTATAACAATACCTATTTATCTATATTCATATACCCATTGTTCGGATAACAATACCCCTATTCAATCTAGTGAATAGATCAAAGGCGTCAACTCTCCTTGGTAAAAATATGGCTAGAAGGCCACAGATACTACTGTTGTGTATGGTAAAACTGCTTTTTTGTAGTGGATGATAAGACTTCTTTTTGTAGTGTATGGTAAAACTATTTCTTTTAGTGTGTGGTAAGACTATTTCTTGTAGAGTATGGTAAGACTACTTTTCGAAGTGTAGTGTATTTTTCTCTACGTAGGATATTGTGTCTTTAAAGTTGAACAAAATTCGTTGTTACTATAACGTAGGTTTCTGAATTATTACATCGTGTTATCTACCTCCCATTCAACAGTATATGTAATGCCCGGAGTAGGAAATACTTACTTTTTCAGTAGCATTAAATATTTATAACTGCATCTCAATGAGTGGAAAACTTCGCATATTTGCACTGCTTTACTTTTATACAATATGTACTTTAGATAAGATGGTTTATTGATTGTAAAGACTGAACATAGACCAAACCTTCTTAGTAAATACAAGATAATGATTCATGTATAATTTATCTTATGAGTCAACGTGAATAACATCATCGTTATTATCAGGAACCGTCCCTCGAAGAGCAGCAGTAGCCATGTGGTTAGACACTTTTCGACAAGCTTCGCGTAGGCGGGGATCTAGCTCGTATTCAGATCTTCAGGGTTATGACCTCTAATGACAATGGACGCATGTGTAGTCATTCGGATGAAACGAGGTCAGGTTTCAATCCCCACGGAAATTGGAATTTAATTGCCGGTCTGTGAAGATTCTTCCATGCATACTATATCACGAGAAATGTTCTCGGCTACCATCGGGATTGAATTCGAGACTTCCAGTTTAATAAGTCAACACCAAACCCAATAAGCACACGAATGAACTGATTTAGCCACACACGTAATATTCAAAAGAGTTTAAACTACAATTTATTGCCGTTCTCGGGCCCGGCGGAGTTGGGGGGGGGGGCAATAATTTGGCCGCAAGTACTCTTTTCTCCCCTGGACCCACGCCTATCAGGACCTAGGAGGGAAGCCCCCCCCCCCAATCAAGAATTGCTTCCGCGGGCCCTGGTTCTAAAACACCAAAATGTTACACATTTACTTGAAGTGCTCTTTCCACTCAACTAGTGAGACGAGTTTTGGATGCTGTAAAAAGGGTTTTTATATCCCTCCCCTTTAACTACATTCGTTATTGTTGATAGAAAGATGACAGGATGCAATGATTTTAGAAACCTACGTTATAGTGTTAAAACATACATTATGAATTATTGTAGCACAAATCAGAAATTTCCTCGATTCTGATTGGTCGAAAGTGTGGTCGAATGGATAATAACCCCCCTCTAAATTATTACGGCGAATTACTGCGTATAAATACAACAGTGTACTTTTTTTTTCATTTATGTGCTCAGTTAACTTTCTCAACTCTAATCTTTATTGACAAATATCTTCAAGAATTTCTGCATACATGACTATCACACCATTTTTTCAAACGCCATCTTTTATGAAAACACATTCCTGAAAAACATTAAAAATAAGTCATTAGTCACAAGAAATCGCTTGAAAATATAATGAGGGAGTCGAAAATAGTAGCTGAAATAGGCCTAATAAACAGGAATTCTATGGCAAAATTGACATTATTTTGTTGACAACACGTCAGAACAGTATAGCCTACATAGAAACCGCTAGAATCATAGACATCACACATTTTAATAGGGTATTTTTGAGGGTGTAAGCATGAAAAGCAATTGTCTGAACAAAAACGAGACACAGAATTGTGATAACTGTCTGCAAATAAAATAATAAAGTCTGAATACTTACCAATTTTATTATGAAACGCTCGAAGCGAACTCATTCATCTTTTTTGCCAAGAGTCTCGGTTAACAGGTCGAAACTATTTCATTCGAGGCTGACACGGAAACACCTCAAAACACCGAAATAAGACTAATTTCATGTTCTATTAAAAATCTCCAAACGTTAAATGTTCTTTTTGGCGATATATGAATAAAATTTTCTTTCATAATTCATTTAAATTTGCAGGAAAGCGAAGACGACTTAATCTACTGAAAATATTTTGAAAAATGAACGCAAGCAAGTTCCGGAGAAAATCCCTAAATATTTGTGCCACAATATCGATAAACACGTTCTAGTTTCGTATATCGAGGGGGATTATTGTCCATTTAACCATGTTGTCGCGCCTAGTGTTCTATCGATGCAAGCATGGTTAAACTGACAATAACCCCCCCCCCCTCCAATACAAAACAGGAAGTGTTTATCTCTTTAAACTACAGACACACTACCCGAGATTAAAAAATAAAATGGGGTTTTTAAAACGTCTTACTGGGCTTATGGCGACGAGCAGTGTGCCTACTCTTATGTTTAGATCTATTTGATGCCAACAGAGCTAGCGTTAATCCCAACCCTAAACCTAACGACTTTACGTTGACCCTTGCCAGGCCCCACTGACAAGGGGGAACCACGCCGGAAAATCCCGATAAACTTTCTCGGCCAACGCAGAGATCGAACACGGGGCCTCCAGGCCAGCGAACCAACATTCTACTCACTGAGCCACCGTCGCTCCTCAGATAAAAAAGAAAACATAAAGAATAAAATGAAATTGGGGGGGGGGGGTAACGTCCTGTGTTTTTCTGTGACGACCGGGATATTAATGGCGGAGATAATTTCTTGCCTATTAATCATCAAATATCGACAGCCAAGGGTTCTTTTACATACACGCCAACGTGTACACCGGATCCCACGTTTTGTCCCCTACGAGCAACTAGACACGATTCCTTTCCATGTCTTCCGCACGAAAACTAGATGAACAAATGAAATGGAATGAAATGAAATGAAATGGGGTTAACGTCCTACTGTTCTACTCCTATACTGGGCTAATGAAGACGGGCATACGCCATACAGTGTGCTATGAGGGAAATTTTGTCCGGGCAGCAGCGCTATCGCCTACTTTTATATCGAATTCCAACTGCCAGGGGATCTTTTACGTGCATTCCAATATATACATGGGACCTCGGTTTTTCGTCTCATCTGAAGATGAAGACGCCACTGTCCAAAATGTCCCTCATATCTATAGCACACTGCATGGCGCGTGCCTGTCCTTATTAGCCCTGTTTGTGCAGAAACGTAAGACGTTAAAACCCATTTCAGTTGACAGTATCCTGTAGTTTTAATCAATTACTCTGTTGATAAACATAAATGTCGATGAATTTTATTGTCAAGAAATGTTTCCTTTTTTTTCAAATTAGCATGTCTAAAAGAAAATTGGATTAAGTGCTTCAGAAAAATGATGTTAATACGGACAATAAACACTGCAGGCTTGTCAAATGCATTAAAAATCACGAATATCGAAAAACAATTTCTTCAATGCAGACACGGCAATCAAGTACGACATCGATAGAATACCGCCACGGTTGAAGATTTACTTTGTATTGGTAATCAAGTATGACAACCTAGAAATGAATAAAAGATGTGTAATGTGATTGAGAGTTCACAAGAACTTATAGATGACGCAGTTCCTTCTTGTTCGGTCATCTGGAACAGAAATAAAGTCAATAACTCTGCACCAGAGAAACTTTTACCGCAGCGTGTTTGATCTTTAAAGACAAATGTGAAGCTATATGGTTGAAGTATACTTATGAAGTATTAGAATTCAGTAATATATAATTAAGTCAAAATAAATTGTGGAATTGTTTTTTATCTTTTTATCCCGCACCGAACAAAGCTAGGGAGGGATATTGAATGGGGGGTCTGTCCCGATTTCGTTTCCGGAGCATATCTTATAAACCGTTCAAGATATTTATCTGAAACTGTGTACACACCTCAACCTGTTATAGTAGTTGTGCCTTTTGCTATTTAGGAATTTCTGGGATTTATATTTTTGTGTTTCCATGGAAACAAATTTGACTTAGTTTTGGGTGTATAATTTTGTTTCCGGAGCATATCTCATAAACTTTTCAATATTTCTCTCTGAAACTTTGTAAACATATCAACCTATTACAGTAGTTGTGCCATTTGCTATTTAGCAATTTCTGGGATTTATTTTGTTGTGTGTTTCCATGGAAACAAATTTGACTTAGTTTTTGGTGTTCAATTTTGTTTCTGGAGCGTATCTCCTAAACCATTCAAGATATCTTCATGACACTTTGTACAAACATCCATCAACCTGTTATAGTAGTTATGCCTTTTGCTGATTTAGAATTTCTGGGAATTAATAATTTTTGTGTTTTCATGGAAACAAATTTGACTTAGTTTTGGTGTTCAATTTTGTTTTCGGAGCATATCTCATAAACCGATTAAAATAGTTGTGCTTTTTGCTAATTTGGAAGTTCTCGGATTCAATCATTTTTGTGTTTCCATGGAAACAAATTTGACTTAATTTTTATGTACAATTTTGTTTCCGGAGCATTTCTCACAAACCGTTCAAAATATATTTTTGAAACTTTGCACACACATCATTCTATTACAGTAGTGATGCCTTTTGCGAATTAGAAATTTGTCGGATTTAATAATTTTTGTGTTACCA